TTTTGCCTAATTATGCATGTAAGTTTGTAATTGCGTGTTCACTAAGCGCTTTCTGGAGGCGCGGAGATCAGGGGCAATGTGAATGCTGGGTTCAAGGCGCGGGTCCTTCTGATTCTCTGTGATTGCGCAAGAAATCTGTAAGCAAGAAGCAGGAAACACTTAACCTCGATAAGTGTATCCACACCCCTTTTCTTTCTCTCTTGTTTTGTAGGTTTTCTTTTCTCTCTCTCTCTCTCTCTCTCTCTCTCTCTCTCTCTCTCTCTCTCTCTCTCTCTCTCTCTCTCTCTCTCTCTCTCTCTCTCTCTCTCTCTCTCTCTCTCTCTCTCTCCCCCTCTCTCTCCCTCCCTCCTTCTCTCTCTCTCTCTCTCTCTCTCTCTCTCTCTCTCTCTCTCTCTCTCTCTCTCTCTCTCTCTCTCCCTCCCTCCCTCCCTCCCTCCCTCCCTCCCTCCCTCCCTCTCCCTCTCTCCCCCTCTCTCTCTCTCCCTTTCTCCCCCTCCCCATTCTCCCTCCCTCCCTCCCTCCCCACTTTCCCTCCATCAACTATTTCTCCCTCCATCCTCCCTCCTGTACAGAATCATTATTTGATTATTGCAGCCTACACACACACACACACACACACACACACACACACACACACACACACACACACACACACACACACACACAGATACACACACACACACACACACACACACACACACACACACACACACACACACACACACACAGATACACACACACACACAGATACACACACACACACACACACACACACACACACACACACACACACACACACACACACACACACACATACACTCACAGAATATATACTCATATTTATGTAGAAGATATTTTTATCAAGGTCATAATCCTGAAAGAATCCCCTTGTAATGCACCTCTATTGTGTGTGTGTGTTGTGTGACAGCTGATATGTCCTTGTCTGTCATCGGCCGTGCCACTGAAGGCGGGAAATCTGGAGATGCAGAATATCACAGCGGCTTTTCGGTCTTTATAGTCATCAAAGTCAGAACTGAAATACGATTAGAAAAGTTAGATTGTGAATGTGAGAGTTTATTGGATAAAGAGAAAGATTGCTTAGGTGAAGTACATGCAAAGATAAAGAGCTGAAGTAGGTGGAAGGCAGAAATTTACGTATTAGAAAATGGAATAATAAAAACATAGGCACAGGACAAGGTTAATTGGATGGAAAAAAAAAGAATCGCATTCTTTCAATACGATGATTATTGGATATTGCCCAAAAAAGACTGTTCTTTCAACATATCTATTTTTATTGTTTCATTACGTGGCTGTGACCTTTCCGGTGTGACGCAAACATCCTGCGCCTCCAGCCTATGGACGACCTGAAAACATTTGTGCGAGTGTTAGTCCAATGTTTACCGCGGGTTTTCTTTCACCGGGCGCGTTCTGTTTGGTAGAAATTGTCATTTTACGTGTCTTTAGGGAAATTTTGTTACATAGAAAGGGATTTTTGCGCTGCGATTGGAAGATGGAAAACGCGCATGTTAATAGGGTATCCTTAATATGTTCATTAGTTCGTTTTATGTTTGCAGATTATATGGCTAGAGAGAGGAGTGCATGTATAAGTAATGCGTCAAACAGAGGGTTGGGCAAGGGAGGGGCGAGGCACGAGGGTTTCGCCGCGCGAGACGGGGAGTACCTGCCAGCTTGCCAAACACTACTCGCCAACTCGTCTAATGGCGCGAGACAAAAAGCCAGCGCGCGAATATGAATTGCGCGTTATTATCACGAGATGGCTGGCGAAAAAACGTCCTTGCAAGACTCCATCAGCAGCAGAGGAACGTGATAGGGAGTAAATGTAGGGGTTTGGGGAAGGGGGGGAGGGGGTAGGGGTTTTAGGGGGGATATACTGTCATGGACACGGTAATCATTCCCGCAAAACTTGCTGGGTCATTTACAATTGCCGTATGTTTTTTTTTTTTTTTTTTTTTTTATTTCCCCTCCGTCTTTATTCGGGTTTCTGCAGTGCTTCCGTGGTTAAATGCCTGTCTGGAAAGTGCAGGATATTTACATACGAGAGTGTATCGGATGTCATAAAGCTCAGGTACATAAATCATTCATTTTCGCTTCAAGACCTTTGTGTTTAAGCACTACATTGGGTGGCCGCCTTGGGTTTGATTTATAATGCCGTGGCCAAAGTAAACACAGCAAAGGAATTGACGTGTGTTTGCCGCGTTGATGCAATATTTTTACTCAAACAACTTCAGCAGTCTGTTGCCTTTTCCGGTCAACGATTTTTTTTTTATTTCATTCTTTCTCCAGATGCTTCGATTGAGTATTTTTTTCACTGCAATGATGCTGCATGAGAACTAAGGTGATCCTGGAGAAAAAAAAACAGGTTAGTGTTTGGTTTGCCTCATGGCTCTCCTCGTGGCACTTCCTTAACTGTGGCACTTGCTTCCCCTCCGCGTTTGATCGGCGATTCTCTGTTGTATTTCTCTACTTTAGGCTATAGAATTATTGAGTTACCTATAAAATCTGGCAGAGTTTAATATTATATATTTGGTCGCGCATACACGCACGCACGTACACACACACACACACACACACACAGACAGCGGTAATCCACGATCAGGTCTGCTCGTCACGTGACCCACACAACGGACCTACTAAGATATGTTTTCTGCTTCCCGAATTCACGACATCTGAGGAATAACAACAGAAGACGAAAACCTTAAGATTCGAACGAGCACATGTTTTACTTTGGATCGAGCAAGGTACAGCTGATGTAGAAAGATAACCAAAAAGTTTGGGGAAGATGAAAGAAAAAAATACGCACAAAATGAATGTTACTCTAGCTGTTTCTCATATTAGGACACAGCAGCATCAATATATTCATCAAGATTCTCTAAATAATTTCTGGTTTGTGTCTATACATACATACATACATACATACATACATACATATATATGTATATGTATATGTGTGTGTGTGTGTGTGTGTGTGTGTGTGTGTGTGTATATATATATATATATATATATATATATATATATATATATATATATATATATATATGTATGTATATGTATATGTATATGTATATGTATATGTATATGTATATGTGTGTGTGTGTATATATATGTATATGTATGTATATATATATATATATATATATATATATATATATATATATATATATATATATATATATATATATGTATATATGTGTATATATGTGTATACATGCATACCTGAAAACACACACACACACACACACACACACACACACACACACACACACACACACACACACACACACACGTTCGAATCTTAAGGTTTTCGTCTTCTGTTGTTATTACCGCTGTCTGCTGCTAGACGTTACGGCAGATGTTGCGTTTTTTATTTCTTTTTTGGATTCTTTTCTCAGGCATTATTAATCTATTTTGAAAGCATTTACCTCTATGATGTGCCGCGTGATCCGGACCAGAGGTTTGATACAATCACGTACGAGTGCGCGCCCACACGCCTCTAGTATACCAGTGTGTATTTTCTATCCTATTTCTTTCTCTTTTCCGTAAATCCTACTGGCGAAGGATAATAGATTTCGACATTTGCATATATGCTAGGGTACTCTTTTAATATTGAAGAAAATGTTGAATCCAAGAGACGGACAGAAAAGAAAAGGTGTTAACCTAACCTAACAGAAGGGATAGCGAGAGAGAAAGACAGACAGGCAGCGACCGGGGGGGGGGGGGGCTAAGTAGTTCGAAAAGACCTACAGCAGTATTAGATTAAATGCAGCTCAAACAAAAAGCAAAAGCTAGTTACTGTAACCGGTTTGTGCGTTGAAGACAAGAGTTTTTTACTTGCATGCACGATGAGTCACCTGTCTACTTCACCTCAAGCAGGTGTGCTTGCTGACTCACTGGACTGTAGATGTTATCATCTGCATTAGCATATGGTGTCTGTTGTGCAAAGGTTGCGTTTAGTGGTTGACATTTGACAGTTAAAGACCGTTTAGGAAAGGATTGCGTTTCGTGTTGAAGCTGCGAGTGAGTTCTGGGCCAACTCTGCGGGAGGGAATTGCCTTATTTGCCTTTTTTTTGAGTTGTTTTTTTCAACCTCGCCGGAGGAAGCAAGGTTGGTAGTCTTATCGCGAAGACAACTGATGGATGGTGGATTTCTTACGTGGGCTGCCTTTCTTATTGAGAAGTCGAGAGAAAAAACTGACACGGAAAGAGAGACAGGGAAGGAGACCCGCTCTGACTTACGAGTTATCGTGGTAGTAAGTTCACAGACCGTAACTGTTCCTATATGACTTCATGAATATTGCGGTTTCGTAGCCGCGCAAACAGCGATAGCCTGTGATTTGTTCAACAGGAAAAAACTTTTGCAAGGCACGAAACGGCCTGGAGGCGAACTGGCTATCTAAGGGGATCTCCTCCGCCAGTGCCCCCCGCCGGTGCCGCCTTCCTCCACCTGTTATTGTGGCGATTGTGCGATGGTGCCTCCACCGCCTCCGTCCCCTCCACCCCTCCATCCCCACCACCTCCTCCATGCTACGACCGCCACGCCTCAACTACCGCTTACGCCTGATGCTGCGCTGAGGCCCGGCGCCCACACCCTGGCGTTCGACACATCCGTCACACTTTTGGTTTTAGCAGTGGTACACGCACCTGTCGCTGCTAAATCCACATATCAGGCAGGTTGGATTTGGAAGCGTGTTTTTTCGCGCATCCTTTTGTTTGAAGCATTGGTTCGGAAGAGAGACATACGGTCACCTGTCGCTTGTTGTTTATCGGTTGTGCTGTGTGAGCCCTGCCTTCCGCATACTGAGGAGTCCTTTGATGTCGCCGTTCTTTTCACTCGTTATCCTCTACTTCTATTCTCAGGCCTTTTTTAACACTTGGTTTTGCTTAGTGTTTTAAGTGTTCACTTTTTATCCCTGGAATTGTATAAGTGTATGGAATAGAAAATCGTAAAAAAAATGAATATTTAACACCTTCCTTTGTTACAG